GGAGCTCGAGGAGGACAGCGGCCTGTTGACTCTTGCGAAGCTCTCGGAGATAGATGTCTCCATTGAGGGAGTCAAAGGAGCCAAGAACTTCTTTGAAGCTAAGGTATGACAGAACATAAAGCTTTGCATGCAGTCCTTAATTTCACTGAGACACTGACCCTGCTTGCTTATCAGTAAATTTCTCCCTAGCTTAAAGGGTGCCAATTTCATGCCCCTAAACTCAGCCATAGATTTTCTTTTCAAATTTTCTTGGACTTCAGCTACAGCTGTCCTCTGCAGGTCAGTCAATGCTAGAACAACTTAATTCAACAACTTAATTCACCATCTCTGGGTCTTACCCTGGTAGAGCTGACTGACCTTTTTTTCTGTGGCTAGGAGCTCTATGGGACTTGCTGGCTGACCACTCTTAAAAGATAAGTGTGTCCTGAAAAGTAATGCAATAGGAACAGACTTTCCCGTTTTGCAAAACCTCCCTCAACCAGAACACTGAATTCAGTGGTGAATAAAGTATTTTGGAGTATAGGATTTCAGGCATCTCTTTCTCAAGCAGGTATCTGTAACCTTTGGAATCAAAACTGCTCTGCAGGGTCTGGGGGTTGGCAGAAAAAGCTTCCCACCATTCAAAGCTGACAAAGCACACTTTTGAAAGCTCTCTTGGAGAGAAAATAATCCTACTTGTTTATATAAGAAGTCTTTTCCCAAGAGCATAACACGGCTATTGCACAGCAGATGTACTGAGATGAAAGCTGGTAAAATAGCCAGCAAATAAACAAAGTCTCTTTGATCTGCAGTTGTCCGTGGCGTAGTCTGATGTTCTGAGATTTGGCTGTGATTCAGAACTGGTTTTTGCTGTAGTTTCTTCCACTGTATACTCACAAGTTGTGCTATGCTGCCTGCTTACAGAAAGAATGTATGTGACCCAATATTGACAACACTGTTTTGGTCACTTGTTAGTGACTATTGGTAAATGACCTTTCTGTTGTTAGCTCACTTGACTTGAACATCAACAGGTATTGGGTGTAAATACCTAAGCACTGTAGTGTAATTAATACTTGACCCATTCTGACACCTTCCTAGCATGTGCTGGAAGGTGCAGCTAATAGTTCTGTGTTGCTCATCTGGGAGTATTCAGGCCCTGGCTATGATGCAAGGATTATGGTCTTTTATTTTCTTTCTTGTAAAGGTTCAAGCCCTCTCTTCAGCCAGTAAGTTTGAAGCCGAGATAAAAGCTGAGCAGGATGAGCGAAAGCGGGAAGAGGAGGAAAGGAAACACCGCCGAGCGGCTTTCAGGGAGTTAAAGTCTGCATTTACCCAGTAAGCAACCAGCCAGTATGCACTCTGAGATTGCACATGACTTGGTACGTTTCCCAGATCAGGGTTCTACCTGGAGAGAACTGCCTGGATCCCGCCTAAAACTCATTACAGCTTTGCTAGTCTTCCTCTCCTGAAGATCCTCCTGAGTTTCTAAGGGCACAACTCTTGCAATTACTATGCATTCATAATGATGTGAATCGTAAGAGCTGTGTACATGCTGTTTGCTCTGAACTGTCAGGAGCACATCACCCTGAAGCAGAAACAGCAGGTAGCAAATCATGGGTGAGCACTGACAAGTGTCATGTTTGCCTACTTCATTCTTTCCTTTTCTATACATTCTTTTCCTCTTAACCCCTTATTAATTCATTCCTTACTTACAGGCAAGTAGTGAGGTCTTGTGTAAATCGGGGTGTACAAAGTACAGCTTGATTTGCTGTACATTTGTACTGCGGTTGGGTGTTGTCACACATCCTTGACTATCCCTTTTCTTCCTCAAAGCCCCGTGCCACAGGCACTGTGAAAACACTGTGAAGAGACAAAGATAGTTACTAGGGACATGGATCAAATTAATTATCACTTCCTGTAGCATTTTCTGTTGCCCAGCATATTAGAGAGTCTTCCAGTTTTTCTTCTCTGAAGTGCCATAGTAACAAACCTTTCAATAAGAGATGAGATTTCCCAAGACTTCGAAGGGAAGAAGCTGGTTCTCTCTTAAATGAGGAATAGAAAACTGAGTTGCCTGACCATGTATCTTCTTTCACATTCCATCACATTTAGTGTACTGTACAGCTTCACTGTATTTTCCAGCCTTAGGCAGCTGTATCTGTTTTTAAGAGATATTGCCAGCTGGACAGTGCAATCAGATGGCACACTGGGGTTTTCTGTTTGGAAATTTGCTCATATCCTGAATTGTGAAGGTGACATTGTTTAATTTAATTAGAGCCATGACAGGTATCACCAGCCCAGCATGCTGAGCAGTCCCTGCTCAGGAAGGGAAGAGCAGCGAGGTGAGCACATCTAGCTGAACTGAATTTGGAGAGCGTGCACTATATTATTAGCCATTTTCTTTTGCAAACACAGGAAACTTGCCCACAAATGTTCAAATGCCCACTGCTTATCTGGATAATATATGCTGTAGGTCATGGCAGGGGAGCTGTGTTCCCTTAGAGACCTCTCTTGAAACATGGTTTTGCTCAAATTCTGACTGCTGTTGCCCTAGCTTGTGCATTTATTTTTTTCCCTTTCCAGAACGAAACTCACCAGTCGTCTTTTCACTTGTCTGTTTTGCTTCTTAAACTGTGAGCACTAAACTGTGAGTGTGGAATAATAAATAGAAAAACCTCTACTCTTTAATGTCAGGTGGAAGAATTGCTAAACAATTAAACTGTGTATATATCTCTTCACAGATTATATTTTATAAATCACGCTTTTTTAGCTAAATATTTATAATTAAATGTTTTTATACTTTACAACAAAGCAGATAATTTCATCTTCATTTACTTCTCCTGTTGCTGAAATGTACAAATAAAGCATTGTTATCTCCAGTCTTGTCTATGATTTATTTTAGGTCCCTGAATGTACCATTTTGTTCACAAATTACAGAAGAGATTCCCAAAGCTTGGTGTCCTGGCTTGGATGAGTGAGGGAAGTGTTCAGCCCCTTTTTGATACCACTTCCTCTTCTGTATGGTGGTTCTGGTGTAAAAAGCCCTAACATTTGCAATCCCTTGAAAAGGGGTATGGCTGTGTGAATATTTGAAATACTGTCCACTGCTAAATGTTGCCATCTGAAAGTTGTCAGCCTTCCCTTACCTTAAAATAGCCACTGTGTCTCAGCCCTGTTAGTGCCCTAGCTGGGAGTCTGGCAGTTTCCTTCAGCTAGATTTCCCTTTGCCTTTCCCCTTTCTGCCTTTAGAGAAGGGAGGGGGAAAAAAAAAAACAAACGTGGACATTCGAAAATGTGTCTGAGCATCTTGTTTCTGCTGTTGCTAACCTGCTAGGCTCTGCTGGCACTGCCAGTTTGAGGGAGGGGCTCAGGAGGAGGTTTAACCATGCATCCTATCAGGTGTGAGCCGGTGATGAAATGGAAGGCACACAAATACTTTATCCACTGCAGCTCTGTGCGTTGTTGGCAGTTAATGCATTTGCTGTATGTCTGTAAGCCCTCGGGTCTCAGAGGTCAGATAAAATCAGGGTGAAAGTTCCTCAGACTCTATTTCCACAGGAAAATTGCAATGCTGCAGCTCTTGATCTTTTTATTTTTTTTTCCCCACTCCACTGTGTAGCAAGCGCTGCTGTGTCGTGCTGCTCTGCACGTGTAGCTGGGTAAGGAGCCTGGGGCAGTAGGAGGAGAGGGTGGAAAAAGGGCTTCCAGTGGTTTTATTTTAATAGATTTGAGTCAACTCTAGCTGACAAGTTTGAATAAGGAAATGAGCAGTACGTCTGTGGTAGTTTTGTTTGATTCAAATGGGTGCCATTAGTTGGGGCCTTTATTCAGTTTAGTCAACAGTAAATGCTTTTGGATTTAGAAGTTGCGGCAATGTGAGTGTTGAAATTAGCTGTGCAAAAATTGGCTTTGGGAAATTAACTGCCTTCTAAATTGTTCTGTTTTGCTGGCAAATATTGGATTGAATGTTGTGCAGTAGTACTGAAAAGTGCCTTCCTAAATCTCCTATGTAATACTGGCTGACAGTACTTAGTTTTATTTACCTATAATTAATATATTGCAGTCCTTGACAGTCTGACCTCCTTTTATGCTGCATGTCACCACAGTTGGCTCTTAAAGGTCCCAGCAATCCCATTTCTCTTTACTGATACCTGCTGGTACATCAGTACAGGTCTGGCTCTACTGACATGCCCCAAGTGACTCTGTGATGGCAAGCAGAGTAGTGCGATGAAAAGCCTGTTGTGGTTAAGGGTCCTTCCCAGACAGGACAAAGACCTGCTTCAGTCTCCTGGAAGGGGAACACCAGGTACGTTTTGATCCCTGGAAAGCATTGTTTAATGTTTCCCAGAGTAGGAGATGGACAATAGAGGAGTCACTAACAGTTCAGCCAGCACTGAGGATGGGTTCAGCCCGCCGGGGTATTTGGATTGCACTGTGTTTCTCGCTGATGCTTCTGTCATAGCCATTGTCGTTCGCAGCAGGGGACACCACGTGATGGCAGGAAGTCTTACCTAAAAAGTTGAATGTAAACATAATCAAGAGCGAGAGGGAAACAGTACCAACAGGTTCTTCCTGGCTTAGGGTTCAGGCTTGTGAGGATTAAGGTGACTAAATCAAGTTTTAACATTACAGGACTGTCAAAATATATCCCTTGCAAGATGGATTTAAGTAAACAGAGTGCTTTATGGTCACCTTTCAGCTTGTCACGTATGGGAAGGATGGCTTAAAATAGTGTGTTGGAGAAGGAGCTGTGTATTTGTGGGCTTTCAGCAAAAGCCATCTGAGGTGACAGGTCCATTGAACTGACTAACTTTAAAAACTACAGTTGCATGTTCACCTGCCTGCCTTGTCTGTTGCTTTTATCATCGTTATTTTTAGGGATGACAAATGAGGATGGCTCTCTGCTCTCACGGAAAATAAAGGCTACTAAGAAGGCACTGACTCTTCTCAGACAAAATCCTTAGTATTTTGACAAACAGCAAACTGCTTTTCTAAATAATGAAAAGTGGGAGTGGCAAGGGGAGATGTGACACTGCTGCATCTTCTGGGCTGCTTTATGACCATCATTTACCGTATAAAGCTGTGCTCTGTGTTTGTAGCTCCTTTGCTATCGAGGGAGGCAGGCTCTTGCTTCTAAGCTGGGATGGGTGAAAACAATGGGCCAGTAAGGAAGGGTTTTAATTTGTTTGGGGTGCTGTTCCCCTGTGCTTGGGTTTATAATAGTGTGGATGAACTGGCATGGTAATCTAGAGGGTTCTGAAGTACTTTGTGCTCTCAGTACACTACTGAATGTGAGTAGCTGCTGGGGTAATTTGATGCCTAGACAACATTGCCTCAAGTCCTGCAACTGAACCATGCAGGAATTGAACCACATAGCTAGCCTTGAATTTTCACAACAGTCTCCCTGTTCTGCTTGGATGAGTGTTGTAGAGGATTTTAGATGCTATTTAAAAAAAAAAAAAGGCCATCGAGTTTCATTGAGATATTTTACAAAAATGCCAAGTTTTGCAGATGAGGCAAGTTTCAAACACTCTGGAAGTTTTTTGTATCAATAACACCATGTTTGTGGTAACTAGGTGGAAAAAAAAAATCTCTAAGTGCTCAGCTTCTCCCATCTCAGCCAAAGCTTGTCTTAAAGCATGTGAAAATAATTGTGGGAGCTCAAATTCAAGTTTGATAAGTACAATAAGAAGGCACAGCCACTACTGCAGTGAAGGTGGAAGTTGTGACTGACAGCTTGACGTGCAGTGCTGCTTCTCTCCTGCCCCATACTGTTACTAGTATTGACTCAAGCTGTCTGACAACCACCAAGGGGATCATATGTAGCTTATCAGAGGCAAGCCCTTTGCTAGGAGCTTTGCTTTCACATACCAGTAAATTTCTCCTAAAGGAGAGATTCCATTCTAAGATTTTCAGGTGAAGTAGTCTGGCCCTGTGTTGCTCTCATCTAAAAATACATCCTAAGAATTACAGGCTTTCAGCCCATTAGCTCAGATGACTCATTTGTGTTCACTGTTGCATCATTTTTGGCTGGTGTTCCAGTGCACAATGGCAAGTATTTATTCACCTAGCAGAGGAGGGAGAAGCTAGTGGATTGTGGCTGAAAAACGTGATGGGAGTGAAATTGTTTCAGCTGAAAACGCTTCTATCTTCAATAGTGCGTAACAGCCAAGAATAGTGGGTTTTTAGGCTGAAGGAAGCCCATGGGGTTCTTCTGCATCATGGACTAATACGGGGTTTAGAACTAAAAATAAAACAGTATTTTTAGCTGAAAAAGTTTTGTCTCCAGCTCCCAATTTTTCCATCAGGAAATCTGGAACCACCTAATGCCCTTTCTCTGTGAGCGGCAGCCGCCTCCTCCTGCTCCGTCTCCCGCACGGCTGCTTCGGGGACCTCGGGGAAGCTGAGCCCACTGCCGGGGTCCCCATCCTGCCCTGGGTGCCTGCTGGACACCGCACGGGTGTAGAGAACGTGGGTCCTTCCCGCAGGGAGACGGCACCCTGCGGCTTTTTTTTTGTGCCACCAATAAAGCTGAATTATCTACGCGCAGCCTAGGAGAGGGAAAGGGCGGTGCAGGGGGGTGACAACGAGCTATCGCAA